AGGGTCTGGTTTCGTTGGAGTGTAACGGGAGCACCATGAGAACAAGGCAAGTCCGTTCCTGGATGAGACGTTTGTGTCCTCTGTTGCATCTCTGAAGGAGGAATACGCAGATTGCTGGATGCCGAGATAGCTATCCGATTTAAATGAGATTCTATACTTGTAAAAAAAAATAAATCAATAAAGATTAAAACAAGAACACGTGTTGGTTTCCTCTTCAGAACCCTGCTAATGTAGCTCAAGTAACAGCGGGAACATGCTGTAACGCTGAGCAGTGGCTCTAAACAAACCTGGACCTTGGTCCTGAGAAAAAAAACCAAACCACGGTGACCCGCTGCTGTCGCGTGGCTGATCGCTTCACAGTCCAGCCGGGGGTGCTGCAGCTCCCGCTCCTCACCACAGACACCAGGCAATTAGTTTGGCCATTTCAAAGTGTTTATCTTCTCAAGTCGCAGCTGAAGAGGTTTCAGGGAGCAGCGGCCACGGGTAAAGTTTTCTCCAAGCCGACCCGCACCACGTCAGGGCTGCGGTGCGGGTTTCCCCAGAGGAGGAGCCGCTAGGGCTGCAGTACTGCTACTGCTGGTACAAAACTGCACAAGTGGCCTCAACCGCGTCTGGAGCAGGAGTAAAACCAGACCTGGGTAGAGCAAAAGCCTAGCTCAGGGTGAATTTGATACTGAGGCTTTGAGCAGCTCTGGCCTGGAATTTCCAAATCTACTGCAGAGACACAGAGTTTTACCGACGCGGGGTAACGCTGGGAAGGAGCCGGTGCTCTGTCATTTCCAGGCTGCAGTCAGGGCCCAGCGAGGGCGGCTGTCCAAGGTCACAGCCTGTGGTCCAAGGTCACAGCCTGTGGCCCGAGGTCACTTACCGAGGGGGGCTGGTGGCCCGCGGGCACGGGCGTGCTCAGCCCCTGCGGGCGTGGACGCGGTGAGGTCGGCCGTAGCGTCAACCGGCTACGATAACGCCGACCCCGCGCACGGAGCCACTGCTGGGAGGAGTTTCTGAGAGGTCCTCAAAGCCCAGACGTTTCCTACATGCACGTACGTATCCCCCCCATCCCCCTGCACCCCCTCTTTTCTCCATTAACCGGCTGCGCGTCGACAAACGCGCACATGGAAACACCAAACACCCATTTTTCCAGCAGTATCAGCACGTGGAGCTCGGTGCCCTGCGCTATCACCACGCGCAGCCCCGCGCTGGCGGCGGGAGGTCTCCTCCTGCTTTTGACGATGAGCACGAACAAAGTTTTGGCCCGCTGAAATAAAACTGAGTTTTGCCACCAGCTGCGCGCAGTTCGGGTTTCAGTGACAAACAGACACAGGAGACCGACTGTCCAGTTCAAAAAGTACATCCTACTCATCTCTCTATTTTTATCGTGAGTTAAACTGCAACCAGGGAAATGGTGAGGAAGAAAAGGAACTAGAGATGAAAAAAAAAAAAAAAAAAATCAAGACTAATCATTAGTCTGGAGCCATTCCGAAAGGATGACATTTTAAAGGGGAAAAAAAAACTAAAAACTGAAATCTTGCAAAATTAAACTTCACTTAAAAAACGGACTATGTATAATTTAACAGTATTTTCTGTATAAAAACTGGAAAGTAAAAATCCTCTACTTTGAATTATTCTATAGACTTTATACACACAGTGCCCGAGCACCCATGGAGGGGAAGATACTAATGTGCAGCCAAGAAAGCATCAGGGCTGACTTTTAAACAAAAGGGAAAGTTACACCTATAAAAAAATGTAATTGCCTAATAAAGCACATTAGGAAATAAAGAATTCACCTGAAATACCCATTAGAGATTATATCATGGAGAAGTGCAGTGGTACGAATACTTCAGGTATTTCTTTGCAAAAGTTCTTGCGTTCGCGTTCCAACAAAAGATATTTCACACGAGTGTTTTTCCCCCCTCAAAGCCCAGTTTTCCCCGCACCCTCACACCTACAGAAACCAGAGACGGAGCCGCAGTTTAACCCCGCGCCAGCTGGATTTGAGGGGAAGATCATCCATCCTTCTGCTCCCCACAGGTTTTTCCAAACAGTTGGGATCTTTGTTGCTCAAAGAATATTTTCTCTGTTACTCGGCGAAACATCTCTCAAATCCCAGCCCCAGCGAAGGGCTCACACGGCAGCACCACGGCTCCTCCCGAGCCCCGGGAAGGTGTCGCCGGGCCCCGGGTGTTTCCGAGGAGGAGCTCGGCCCAGAGGTGACAACCTGCGGGTCGCAGAAAAAGCAACATTTTTTTTTCCAGCTGCACCCTGGAACGAGGCACTTCACAGGTTGGTCAGATATGAAACGAGCTCTTTATTGAATACAAGGTTGGAATCTCAACAAAGGATTTACAAATCTTTGCAAGAATTAAGGGAGTAAACAATGTACTAAAGTCAATTAATAACACTTATTCTCATTGGATTTAAAATCTCAGCAGCGACCAGCACAGCACAAACCGAAACAGCTCCAACTACTAATCACAAAACTATTAGAAGAGAAGCAACGTTTGCCCAGAGGGATAAAGAATCACAATATAGCAGTTTTCTGACCACTTTTCTTCATAAAATTATGACATTTATATTTTAATTTTGAGAACTGGAATTAAATACAGGTCCAGAGAACGGGAAAAAAAAATAATCTTTCAGAGAAAGTAGTTTGTACAATAGCAGCTTTTATTGAAAAGGTGGTTTTTGTTTCAAGTTTAATTAATCTGACACGTAGCTAACTAGAAATTGGAGCATTCCTCAGGTTTTCACGAGCTGCTTCCCAACCTGAGGCTGAATTTCACTCCCACTTCACGTGCCCTGCACCAACGGCAAGGAAGGAGCCGCACAAAACAAACCCGGGTGAAGAGAAGCTGCGGCCAGAGAGGGAAGAGCAGTAACAATTCCCACGCCACAGAGAACCCCCGAGCGCTGCAGCCCCGTGGGGGCAGGAAGCCTGGGGGGGACACTGAGCCCCGGACATGGCGCTGGGCTCGCTCCCCAGCACCCTGACAGCCAGGGCGGCCCGCAGCGCGCCGGGACAGCGCAGGAGCCTCAGGGTAAAGCCATCTGGACATTAAATAACCCCCCGAATGATCGCTGGCAACTGTACACAAATATACAGAAATACCACTTCCCGTAGGTAAGACCAAGGCAGCGCCGGAGAACACATACATTACCAAAAAAAAAAAAACCCCAGAAAATCCCGTTTCTCTTTTCTAGTGGAAGAAGACATGCAGAAAACGGAGTTACATTTGTGAAATTCAACACGACCACAGCCAAAGGCAGCGTGTCCATTAGCCCGTACGCAAAGGAAGCCGGGGAGCGTGGTCTGTTCCGAGGCGCTGTAGGAAACCCCGTCACCTTGGATACAGATGGCAAGGACACCGGCTCCGGCTGCGACCCATTATCCGAGGCGATGCCGAATGCAGGCGTGAGTCATTTTAATGACTAGGGCATGTAAGCGAGATGATCCTCGTTGTGCAACGCCTTTATCGAGAGTATCTACACGCAAAACATTCGGTGTGTTCCCATGACGTCAAGGCGCTCCGTTCAGAACACTTTCTGCTTGCCACAGACGCCGCAGCGGTGCCTGCTGCCTTCCCTGCTGTGGGGAGCAAGCAGTGGTGTCGTACTTCAGCGAGCTCGGCTGCAATTGTAACTGTCGATTCTTTATTTTTTATGGGCCAAAAGACAGGCTGGATCCATCTTAGGGAACTTACACATCCCTGGGAAGCGCCTTCAGGACAATACAGCTGCTGCTCTATGTGAAACAGCGGCTGCTCTAAGTTTCACGTGGCCTTCTTTTATTTGTGGCCTTCTCAGTTAGGAAAACAAAATCCCATGGAGCCAAGTGTTCAGGAAAGCCACGCTAACTATGAAATCCCCTCTCCCGAGATAGGATTTCGCGAGCGAAAGCCCCTGCGTCAGGCAGCTCCGAGGTGCCCGTGCGAGCAGCAAGCTGAGGGCGCGCCCCGACAGACAATGCTGAGGGGGTTCTGCAGTTGCGGGAGGCAGAAATGACGATGGGAAACGAGGCAGGAGGTCCCGAGCGATGGGGCTGACTGCTGTAACTATTTTGCACCTAATAAATGAAATCAAGAGCCAGCAGAGAGCCACCGCCCTCTTTTTGATGAGTGCTGGGCAGCCGAAGGCAGGCGGTCGCTGCCACGCTGCTGAAAAGCCGCTGCTTGATCCGCTGGAGCTTGCGACTGGGGGCACAAGATGCTTATTTTACGAACAAGCTCATTTCAGGCAGCAAGAAGATTGATTTTAATTTGTGTAAATAAGGGGCCAGATACCTAGCACTCCTATTAGCCAAGATTCTTTCATTTGGTATAATTAATAGTTTAGTATAATTGAGCCTTTCTTTTTTAAATACGAAGCATCGTTTTTCCTCATTGTAATTTCTATTTCAGTAAATAACCACCAGCCAGTGTCAGCTACTGATAACGGAGGGAAGATTAACTCGGAAAAGCTGCTGATACCTCTGGAGAGAAGAGATTTTCTCAAGATCTGAGAAACTTAGGTCAAAGAACTGAGCAGCCGGTTGTACCCAACAGCTACACACCCCATTCCCTGCAGACCGTATAATGATAAAGGTCTCAGAATAACGCCACGAGGCTCCCACTAGGTTTAAAATTCTGTAACTAGCACTACGGCTGACTGCACTGTCGTCTGGGTGTCGTATCTGAAGAGAGAATCAGGTACTTTAGGTATGGGTAACTTGTGATGGCCTGTTGTCCTGCCCAGGCAGGTGAACCAACGAAAGGGAAGGCGCACAGTCCCCCGCTTCAGCAAACAGCCTGCTTAAGAGCACCGACTTTCCGTGTTAAATGACACCCGCCTGCAGCAGGAGCCACGGGACGACTTGTGCTGCCAGATCTGAGTCAGAGAAACACGTTATTACAGATAGCACTAGACTGCACAAGTCACACCCAGGCAGCCCATCAAGAAAAGCGTATCAACATACAAAAAAGCTAACATATATATATATATATATATATATATACACACACACACACAGGAGCAGACATGCTGTATCAGTGGAGTCCAGTTTTCAAGGGTGATGCAGCCACACAACCACCAAAGGGTCAGGTGAAGCATCACGAATCATACCTGTAGTTCAGGGCAAGTTCAGGGAAGGAGTTTGTCTCTATTTACAACAGAGTAGCAAAGACTACAGGTTTTAAAATCCAGCTGCCTCTACTAAAGAGATGTAATAGGGAAAATTTCAACCATTTTTCCAAGTCCTTATTCCCCGGTGCTAACCAGCTACACGCAGGAATACAGTATAATTTACAATACAGAAGGGTGGAGGTATGAATATACAACGGCTCTCCGCAGCCTCATTCCTTCTAAGTCAATAATTCATTTTGCCTCGAAAGGTACTGTGTCTCGTGCCGCGTCTGCACTGTAATAGCACAGCAGCAAATATTTAAAGAAAAACATCATGATCCATATACCAAAAACATCAAAGAAAAGATTTGTTTGCAAATACGTACTTCAAGTATTTAAGTGGTCACTTCTATGCAAATCGGTCCAGCATTTCAGTTTTTCTTGGCAGCTAGGTGCTGTCCTCTCTCAGAGATTTATGCCCTCAGTTAGCAGACTGGTTTGTTACCAAGACTGACCCGCTTTCATCTGGAGAAAGACTGAAATGCTGCATTTTTTTTGCCACACTGCATTTTTTTTCTGCTTATTTCTGAACCACTGGCCGTTTCAAGTGAAATTCTTCACGAGCGATTTGTACGTGACAGGGGCTTTAACCCGTTAGGGTACAAAACTCAAAGGAAAACATTTCAACCGGTAACCACACCTCGAGCCTTTCCGCTTCTCCTGCCCACACCGTTTACCCCACGTGTCCTGCACTATTAGACCCGAAACTCCACCTTCAGTGCAACCGCCTTCAGAGCAGGTCTGGCAAAATGAGACCTGGAGGTTTTGGCTCCACGCAGTTGATCCAGAAATTTGCACAGCTTGCGTGGTACTGGTGCCCTCCATACGCCAGCTTGAAGTTATCCGTTTCCGAATTAAAGGCCTAAAATAACAAGAAGTGAAACAAGCGTGACGGTCTCATCTACTCCAGGATCTAGAGGCTGGAGTGGACATGGACACTGCACAGGTATCACCCCGGAATGGCACGGCATGGCAGGACCCTCTCGCTCCCAACAGACCACCCAATAAACAATATTTTATTGGGGTCTGCAAAGTGTCTGCAGGTGGAATAAAACTTCCCAACACACCTGGGCACACTTGTGGCTGACCTGACACCTGGCAACTAACTCACCTGGCTTCAGGCATCTTCTACCTCCGCTACCTATGGTGCAAGACAAAAGCTTGTTCTGCCAACCAGTTGATGACCACTGCATTTATTTCACTGGGGCAGATTTGGGCAGCTGCAATTCTTGATATTAGCGTAATATCAGGTTGATTTTGATCTACTTTCTCCTGTTAATTGAATCTGCTTTACAATAGGAGCTTCTGAACAGTGTGTGAAGCCATGAACGAGCTTAAAACATCTCGATGTTTGTTGCTAGGAGATATTTTCCAATGCCTCACAGCTACCTATTTGAAAAAAAAATAAATATTCTAGCCCTGCTCCCCACACCGTGGATTTCCTACAGAGATTTCTAAAAATGCCATTGCCTACTACATATAGCCAAAAGTCAATATTTGTAGCAAAACCCCCCTAGAGTTCCCCTTCTTCTGCAACAGACACACAGGCAGCTGCAAGTTCAGAAACTCACTGCGGTGAATTTTCTACCACACAACAGAAGTAGCACAAAACCAGAAAGCTGTTCACAAGATACGGGCATGCAGACAAGACAAAGGGGTGGCTCTAGAGCGTGTTAGTGGATCAGATCAAGTGTTACAGTCACAAAAAAATGACTAGAAGAAAAGGATTAATGATCGGTACAATCGAGAATGACAGCTGAAAGCCAGATGGCAGTTCAGCCTTCCACACTCAACTAAGAATGATTCTAGAAAGAGTATGTTATTTTACAGGTTCGTACTTTTCTAGGAAGCTCTTCCACAGGTTTCTCTTCTTTCTGAAATAACGTTGAAACCAAAAAGTCAGCAAAACTGCCGATATATGTCAATAGGTTGGCATCACTCTATACATATCCTGGGATTCCCTCCCAGCTCTGCTAATTGCAATCGTCCCCTCCTGGTGATCCTCAGAGATGCATTTCATAAAGAAAAGTCATTAAAAGCTTTTTATTTTTTAAAAAAACTGTACTTTTAAATTCTTAACATCCCACTTTCTTCCCCATTATGAACAATTTAACCCTTTATCCACATCTGTGTCACACCCAAAGCCCAGTGACTACAGAACACTGACTATTTGAGTCTCTCATCTGTAGGTCAGATTTTGCTTTTGCCACCTCCAGTGACAAATTATAGCCACGAAAATGTTTTAAATACACCCAAGGCTTAAAATTAAAGTCCAAACTGTACATTAAAAAAGGGTTTAACAGTAGAGGCCATTATACTTACTTTACTTCTTGAATCCACGTTTAGGAGACACACTCCACAGGCAAGATCTTGGGCGTTTTTAATCCCTGGACGCAGCATACAAGAAGAGAAATCCAGTGAGTTTTCATCTGGCTAAAGAAATGAGACAATAAAATTTAGGCCTTTTCAGTAACCGAAGGAGTTGCAGACACGATGATAAAAATTATCCATCTGGTTGCTGCCGAGAGCCGTGGTATCACACCGACAACATGGCAGGGATGACATACGACATTTTCTCATAAACTGACGTGTGATTTAATCAAAGCCATTAGTATGTATTTGCAATCCTGCTACGCAATCTCCGCCGGCATTAATTTATAACACTCAAGCTCTTGAAAAAGGGTTAGACTACAAAGGAAAGAATTCTCAAGTTCCACGTTCCCACATCAAAAGGGGAAGAAACTTCAGAGGAAAGAGCCCAGGCGGCGGCTGCTACGTTTCAACTGCGGTGTCTTAAGAACTGGACGAAGATAAACAGTGGTATGCAACAACTATTTGTGCAGCTGTGGGGAAAGGAGGCATCGGCCAGCACAGCTTCTCTAGTTTGCATTTGAAGCGGAGTCTGTATCTCTGTTTATTGTCCTGAATTCCCTATTATTGCCTGACCAAAAAAGGGCAGTTGTTATTCTTGCTGAAGGTCTTTCCGAAGGTAGAATACGGCGCAGCCGTACAAAATGGGATATTAAGGTTAACCAAGCCATATTAGAATTAAGGTCACCAGTCTCACATGAGTTCAGGTTAAAGAGAGGCAAAGGTTGGGAGAACAAGTCTGCAAATAAGTAATAAATGGATATAATCGCTTTTCCAGTACACGATCTTACATTTCAGCCAGGAGATAAATGGTAATTTAAAACTTTGCACGAGGGTGGTATAAAACAGTTGAAGATTCGCTTGAAGGTAACGGTGCAAAGAAAAAACAATCACTTGGAATGCAAGAAGCTTTAAAAAAAAAAAAAAAAAAAAAAAAAACATGCGCGCGTGTAATCCATGCTCCAGGTATGCTGATCACGCTCCCCTGGCTGAATGGCTGGAGAATAATTGGAATCCTGAAAAAAATGCCCTTTAATCTTTAAGTAGATCAATCAAATTAATAAAGGCGCTCTAATATTTGTTTACCAAATGCACGGGTGAAGCAAATGAGAAGGTCATCCTGTAATTTGCAGGGAAAAACCACAAGGCTGTGCATAAAATTACCTTGTAACGAAATCCTTTCAAAGATAAAATTAACCTTTCCAAGCACATGCCTCAGAGCTAGAATACTCCTCTCAACTGGCGCTTGGGTATCATTTGGGATCCGTGACTGCGATCCCCGGGGAAGGAGGAATGGGTTCCACACCTTCCAGGGACCCAGGTGGAGGAGAGGAACAGAAAGGGATGATTTTTGTCTCTTGGATAACTTCAGAGGGATGGTGGGTGTATGAGAACTCATTATTCGCAGCTCCTAGCGTGCTTAAAATTTATCTGGACCACTGCAGCTTGGAGAACACGTGGCCAAGCTTTGAACTTTAAGGTAATCCCTGTAATCTTCCAAGGAAAAGCACTTTAAGAACTAAATTTTAATCCACTTGCTTAAATCAGGAGAGGATCCTGATAGCTTTTTAGATTGTTACCATCAACAGTGCCAGAGTTCAAACAGATGAATCCCGGCCTATCAACTTCATCTGCCAAGCTGTAAAATATTGGAAGTATAAATTTCGTATTACGGCAGGCCTTGTGCAACACAGGACATCACCCAAAATACCTGCTTGCTCCCACTGTTTGTACTGGAGAGGTTTAAAAGGTGTAAAAGGTGTGTAAAAAGGGACTGCTCATTTATAATACCTGTTCTGCAGGGAATGAGAGCGAGCTGAAGATGGCCAGTTCAAGCAGACACCAAGTGCTCTGGGCCTTACTTATAAATGAGTGTTTACTGTGAAGCAAAGATCTTTAGTGGCCATCGTTGCATTGCAAGAAGGAAGCCACAAATTAAAATGTTCAGAGAAAACATAACCATGGTGATGATCTGCTTACTGATGCCTGATGTAACGTACTGATACTGAGTTAAAGGTTCCTTAGGCATATACTTAAAGGGATCCATTATGCAAGGCGATATCAGGCCCCCACAGATGGACGATTCCCTCAAAAGATGAGTTTTACCATGGTTAAAGAAAGGTGTTTTGCACGGTGTACTTCCTGCAACATACATACACAAAATCTGCAAGGTATTTCATGGCAAGGCGGTTTTCTTGCTTTCTGACCGTCCGTACTCTGGACCCAGCCCCAGTGTGCCCCTCTTTCCCAGTTCCTTCGCAGACCCTTCCCATGGGATGCTCCTCTTGAAGGCCACCCACAGCCCCTCCCCACCTCGCCTGGTACCACTCGCCCGCTTATGTAGAAAGCTCTCAAGCTCCTACCAGACTGTTTCAGAGCAACCGAGTTTTTTCTGGCAGTTCTATTCAGAGGAGGAAAAGCTATTTAGTCTGTAGCAGGAACCAAAACAAACTTAGGCGTTTCCAAATGCAGAGAGAGAGAGAGAGAGGAAGAGTTGAGTTATTCCTGTGTCCCTACATTGCGCGCTCTTGTATTGTGAGCAGTAAAACTAACGGCAGGGATATTCCAAAGACAAGGTATGTCCACGTTATTCTGGCTTCATAAAATGGCTTATTTAAATTTTACTAAATTTCCCGTATTGGAGAGGTCCACAGGCATGTAGGATAACATCTAAATCATTAAGACACCAAGGAAGATAACATCCCGTTTGTACATAAGCAATAGTTTTCTTACAGAGAGCTTTAAACTGGATTTCACAAATAAGTGCATTTCCATTTTGCAAGAGGAAAACACAAAGCGTAAAGTTAGGACACCCCGTGAAGTCACTTTACATATAATTATGACATTTCTTGTAGTAAAGACATAGCTTATTTTCGGTCTTACCGTTAAAGCAGCAAGTGACATGAAGCTTATTAGGTTGTTCCACACTTTATCGATATCCTTCAGCAGCTGCTGGAGTTTCTCACTACAAACAGCAGTTGCTTTGATACCGAGTTCAACTCTCTTTGTTACTCTGTAGACTTCAACAACCCCTGTTGATATAAAACACAGTGGAGGATTGCAGAGAATTCGCTGCAGGCACAAGCTTCCTGAAGCTTTCACTCAGAAACAGCACAAAATAGGCATGGCACGCAGGTGGTGGTCATGGACGGTTATTTCAAAGTAGTAGTTACATTTATTTAGCAGAAGACTTGTTCATTATTTCAGTGCAGGCAAAGATTAAGCTAAAAATAATACCAATTTGGGAAGAGTAATTATATATCACTGTTTTTCAGAGGAGAACTTTAAATACACCGAGACATGGTCAATTAGAACTTACCTAGTAAATATTCCATGCCTTGGGCAGACTGGATAACTTCAGTGCAAACGGATGAACTACTTATTCCATTTAGGGTATCATTTGCTTTCTTTATGACCTGGTGGGAATGAATTTCATAAAACAACGGTGTTATCTACCTGAAAATAATTATTACAAGCAAGATTGTCCCCAATAGAAACTGTTACATGAAAAAGGAGGCAAATTGCATTATGAAATGATTGCCGTCCTCCATCACGTTTTGATATATTTATGCTGCAACTATAAGTAAACTGGGGGAAAATATGAACATTTAAAACCTTAATGTATTCCCCCAAATATTTTTTTTTTTTAACCAAAGTAATAGTTTTAAGAGGGTGCATGCATCGCTATCTAGTTTAATAATAACATTTACAGTTTGGGCTGTCTAATACTTAAATGCAAAGAAGAAATTTTAAGGAAAACTAATCTGGCTGTGAAACCCATTACCAAAAAATGAGCGGCCCCTCTGCACAGCACATCGAACAAGCCTGTTTCCCAGGCGTTGAGGAGCCAGGTGCTGATATCAGCGCCCTGAACAACAAGCCTTACTGGGCACCCACATCACCGCAACCCCATGTTAACTAGTTCACTTGAAAATTTAGGCAAAAGCCAGACTAATGACAAATGACAGGGAGATTAGTACAGGATCTTTCACCGAGGAGGTAATGCTTCTGCTGTGTGACAGCTTTTGATTTAAAAACTGTAATCCCCTTGGGCTGATTCACACCCTTACTATGCCTCTGTGGTATTAAACACTGAGTGAGGTGGCACCTCAGGGAGGAGGAAGAGGTTTCGAGCAGGATATACACTTACTTGCAGGGCACTCTCCAAGCATCTCTGCCATTCGTACGCATACCTTTCACTTTCCTGTTTGAAAGAAAAGGACAGTCTGAACCTTGTTCCTACACACATTTCCCTTTCTCCTTCAGACATACAGCAGATGGGTATTCTAAGTGACTATTTGCAGATTAGCCATGTAAACTTTTAACATAACTATTCCTAATTTCCCCCCCATTCTTTAAATATTCTCTTTGCACCTGAACTCTAAAATTTGATTTCTGGGAGTTAGAACTAGTTTCAAAAGGAAGAACATATAAAACCAGGTGAAAGTTTGCATTATACAGACCTACTCCCGACACGTTTATTACAAGTCTGCTGTTCTAGAAATGGGGATTAGCTGAATTTAATCTGAGACCTTTCACCGTCTATTCTCAAGATGAGCAAGAGAAATAAATATCACAGAGCCAAAAAAGTTAAGCCATTTCCCAAAGCCAATGGTCTTGGTGCCAAAGCTGGGATTAGATTTAAGTTGTAACTAATTTCCAGTTACAAATTTAGAGTGCAAGGTCAAGTGATTCTGACTGGCTTTCAGACGACAGCATTTTTTTTCCCCACTTCACAAGACTTTAAAGACAGGAGAGAGGAAACCTCCTTTATGAGCAGTTTCTGACTGTAACGTTTAACCTCACCCAGATGCCATCTTAGAATCATACTCTAAATTCAAATAGCTAAAGTCCCAAAGAGCTGGGATACAGAACACCCTTGATAGCACACTGATGAAAGCCGTTGCCAGTTTACTTGTATTCCAGATAATTCCTTACCTCAACTTCCCCAGTCAAGTCTTTGTATTTGTCTCTGATGACAGGCAAAGCAAGCTTCTCACTTAAGGTATTTGAACGATCTCTAAATGGCTGTTCCAAAACTGGTAAAGGTGAAGAGCGACTTATTTCTCGGTCACCTAGGCTTAAGCTCCTCTTATGAGACCCTAAAAAGTTAGGATATAAACAAGTTAGCCTTCTACTTACAAAGGCACAGACAATTTAAAATTAATAAAACAGTAGCAAGGGATGCACTACTACTCCAGGAGAACAAAGCCCCCTATTTACTCAATGACTGGTGCAAATTTCCCTGGTTCCTCAATTCTTACCATTTTTGGCACAAAAATCTTTTTCATTTAGAAAAAAACCTGCTCCAAACGCAACAGAACCCAATGAGAAGATTCAGCTTCCTTCTGGTAGCCTTTGAAACAATCCCCACTGGCTAATTTATAATCTGATTAGAAAAATTAGCCTCTGATAAGCACGTGCATGATGGTCTTCCTCCACCCTGAGCGGGCTTACCTTGAACAGACAGGTCAAAGGTAGCCAGTTCACTCTTGATCATTTCTTCACTAGATTTCACCTTGCCTTGGGAAGTTGCCACCAAGAAGTCAAACTTGCTGATTTTTGGCTTTTCGCTTTGAAATTCTCCAAAGTCATCCGTGGGCTCTCTTCGCAGTTCAGAAGAGATACCACTAGCAAGGAAGTCTGCCTCTTGATTCGTGTCAGCTGCCGCCGCATCCTGGGCTTCTGATGAAGGTCTTGCAAAATCACCAAAGTCTCCAATGTCATCATCACTTGGACCGCTGGATATTGGTCCAGAGTCTTTAAAGTTTGCAAAGGCTGCAAAGGAAACATCCTGCAAAGCATCTTCACTAGAAAAGGTTGTCACTTTGGAAACTGTTGTCATGGTAATGTTTTCTGAACTGCCGAACAAGGTCTCCTTCTTCTGAAGAACAGAAGTAGCCGCGGAGGATCCACTTCCTGAAGACTGGACAAAGGAGGAGAGCTTCTTCCCCTGATGAATGTCTTCTTTGTCGGACCAGTCATAGCTCGCCAGGCTGCTGACTGCAGACCCACTGTTATAGCTTCCAAATGGGGCACATTTTAAGTCATCTATATCTGAGAAAAACAAACCCCTACAATTAGAAGCTGAAGTTCAAACATTAATCTCTCTACAGCGTATAAAAACAATAGCAACTGACTAAGAGCCTTAAAGAACTGCAAGAACAAACACAGTGAATTTTTGTCTCAGTGAGGCTTAGACTACAGTTTGCACAAAAATAATCTGAAAAATACCTAAGCATTTAATACCAAAATTTCTCCATTTAATAAATGTAAGCCTTGACCTTTGAATACTGTCTTGTATTTTAAGCTGCAAGTCACCATCCCACTGTGGGTAGCGAAAAAACTTTAAAAAAAAAAATTAGATGTTTCTAGACAGTACAGACTGCACAGATCACCAGTTCAGTTTTCTGATGCTGGCTGCAGAATCTGCAATCAAAATGTAAACATTAGCAACTCAAACATTTTATCGCATTACTTCATCTTATCAAAACCAACCACACAGAAGACTGGGCTAACTTTTCCATTCCCTCTGATAAAAAGTATTAATATATTTTAACTTTATATTCACGCTTTGATACAAATAACGTATAAAAATGTGCTGCAAGAATTTAAAAAAAAAAAAAGAAATCCTGTTTAAGCTTATCACAGTTACTGCAGTGCCGCACAGCCGACTCTTCAAACTTACAGGTTCCAGGAATGACGTGAAAATGGCGAAGATCTGGTTTTTGGCTTTAACAAACTATTCATTCAGTTACGTACAGAGAAAACCCAATTATTCTGCAGAAAGCTCCAAAGGTTTATACTCACCCGGCAATTATACGGGCCAAAAGGTTCTTCTGACTGCCATGAGCAGGTATGAGATACAGCCTGGCTGCTTACAGCCAGCAAAGGAGCCAGCACAGCGAGCAGGCTCTGCTGGGCTTTGCCCGCTACTCGTTCAACTGATCTTTCACGTTTAGGCTGAGATTGATCCATAGTGAAGGCACAGAGAGCCAGGGGCTGGGTAGTTTTCATTAAAGCGTTAAAAAAAAAAAAAGCGCCCTGCTATACTACATTCGGCATTTGTTTTCCAGCATTAACAATTGTCAGGTTGGATTAAGACACTCAGCCGCTGCTCAGTGCCTAGGGTCAAACGGGCTGGAGGTAAAGCAAACCCAAACCAGAAAATATATTCTCTCAGCATCGTTTCAGCTGAGACTCTTCTGATAAACATTATGGTCTTGACTGGCTGGCAGGCGGTAGCAGCAACTTGGGTTTCAGACAGCCAAGGATGGAAACAAGCTGACTTTCCAGCTGCCCTCTTTATTCAATCTGGCCACACCAGCCCGAGGATTAAGGCATTTAAACAAAACATTTCTGCCTTCACTTATTCATTTTACCAGAACGGGAGAGCACACTACACTTTAGGCTGTTTTCCAGGCATGACCCACATACATGACTAATTAAAAAGTCCAACAAATATACAGTGTAATGATAGTTTAATGGCTACTCCAGTAAAAGGCCCTTTGCAACGGGACAGGGAGGCACGGTGTGTCATCTATCAGATTTTCCTAAGGGACAGTCTTCCTGCAGCTGCTGCATTTGCACATGACAGCATCTCAATAACAAACGTGAGCACCTTGCATACATACAGCAAGATTTCAAAGAGCCATTCGAATATTAAATTTGTAAAGCAAGCAGTTTACAGAAGGGTAAACAGGCGAGAGATGAAATCACCTGCTTATGGCACAACCGAACAGAAAGAAGGCTCCAAGGTAAAAAGAAGCTGACTTGCAAGGGATCAGTAATTTATCACAAGAAACCACACCTTGTGCTCTCAAACATACGGTTTTGTTTAAAGAAGTTAAATGAAAGCTTCACTGGCATTAAAGAAAGTGCCAGAATAACCTACAAAATGTTAGCCAACTGTAATTAATCCTGGGATCTTGGAAATACCACTGTGTGCTCTTTTTTTTTTTTTTTTTTCAATTTGTGTTGACTCCAATACCCAGCGAAGATTTAAGCACTGCTATTGTTTCGGTGCTCACCAGGACATGCAAAGAGTGATGATCCTACTGTGAAGATCTGCACAATCTATTGTGAAAGACTTCTTTGATAACTGGTAAGAGTTTGAGCTGAAAACACATCCTAAAGGACCAGGTCAGCGTACTCCTCCTGATGCGATCCCGGCTCAGAGGCACAGGCAGAATCAGCACCAGGCTGCGGTGGCAATCCTGAACTCCCCCTGCAATCAGTAGGTCACGGCAGGGAAGGCAGAACGATATTTTAATTATTCACAAACTAAGATTCAGGATTCTCTATGTGAGTTCACATGAAACCCATCTGCATAGGTGCAAGAGGCAATGTGAAATGTAAGAGTTCAATTCTGTACACTCTTATTTATGTGGACAGTTACAAAAGGATTATCCTGGTGAATAAACTTTCCTAAGATTATTATAGTACAGGAAAAATACTGTGTTCTGAGACAAAGTGCTTACAGCTAAAACAATTCATTGAGAAATAAGAATGTATGTGTATAACTGTCTGTAATCCAAGGTAGACTAACTTTTATAAGAATTCTCATTCTACTGCAAAAAAACCCAACGTTTTGCTGTGCCATGAACTTCACTTCATCGAACCATTTGCCACAGGTTAGATGTTTTTGAGTAGAGGAAGTAAAATCATAACCTTTGCCATAGCTACAGCAAAACTAAAGGCTGCTCTGAGCATATTTGCTGCATAATGAAGAGAGGAGCTTCTCCCCCCCACAGGTAGAGGAGCAACTTGCCACCAGACTAATAAGCGAAGAAGCAGTTTACATGTGAAAAGCACTCCTTGGCTGACCCTAGAGAACTCTTCACGATGTGAGTATCTTTATTATCAGCAAAAAGATTGTTTTATTAAGCAGTGTTAAAAACTGCTCCTCCAACAGCCTTTTTCTTAAAGACCACAGACGTGTGTGATGAATAAAAAAGCTCCAGGTACAATGCTGCAGTTCTAGACTCTGGTGTAATAAAAGCTTCATTTTGCCAGTTTGGCAATTCCAAATTTAAAAAGATGCATGTGTATTAGTAATATTTTTTTCAAAGCAAGAGATGATTAAGTGGAAAAAAAAAAATTAATTCCTTCTAACTAAGCATCGCACTTAGCGAAGACGGATGCTACGGAGCTACGGCCATTTCCTCCTGGAGGACACTTTTAGTAAGAACAGGATCTGAACTGAGGAGAATCATCATATAACAAAAATGAGCAAAGACTAAATCCATTCAAAATTCTACGACAATGTTTTGGGGAGCATACAGCAAGTTCACTGTCGAAGCAGGGCAGATCTCGTACTGATCACGCGTTAGGAATCCTGTAATCCTACCACAAGAGACACAGCAATAGGTTTCAGTGAAACGTATCATCATTAAGCAGTATTCCTTTAGTCGTCTCAGTAGCAACTCTGTGATGTCTTTCAGAAATGACACGAGAGATTTGAGTTTAGTTTTGTTATAAAAATCCAAGAGCTCACACTCCCAGTGGAGTTAAAGCCCCACGTCATCATCGGGCTCAGCTTTGCGCTGGTGAGACCACAAAGCACACCCCAGATTAAATACACTCGATAGCAATTCTCAAATCGCTTAGAGATGGGGGCAGGGTGGGACGAGTTGCACGTGTGTCTGTAAAAATCAAAGGCAGATCCATCTGAATAACATGAAACCACACTGTTTTTCCTTAAAAATATTTTCTAGCAGACCAAGGATGGAGAAAATGATCTTCACAGCGTCATGCTGGAGCGCAGGAAGTTTCCAAAAGCTTTCAAAACCAAACCCAATTTGTATTTTTTTCCAAAGCAAAAGGTTTGAAATATTTACCATTTAGTTTCTATTCATTTTGAACTAGCAAAACCACGGCCCAACCTGCCTGATCATCGCCTGGGGACAGCTACAAGCTATACAAGCCAGCCACGCCGCTGCTGGAGAGAGGCAAAGCAACAGCTGCCAAGGAAGGTGCAGGAGAACACTGACAGAGGATGAAAAACAGTTAAAACACTGTTTCCCGGTGTTATCTCATCTACAGAAAGACTTGACATCCTTCATTTGAGCCAACTATAACAATTTATTTCAACGACCAAGGATTAAGTTATGGCTGGAGGCAACTTACAAGCTGGAGCCTTCAACAGTTTTAATCATTTAAGGAAAACCCTTAACAGTGTTAGTGATATTCTAAAGGAAACTGAAAGAGACAATTCAGAAGGTTGGAATATATTTTGTGATTTTATCTAACATAGGAGAGCTTCCTGTTTTTATACTTCAGTTTATATTCTGGTGGATAAATATAACTCTTGTGCCATTTTTTGGTTGTTAGGGTGATGCAGGTGGTAGCGAGTCCTGTTCCCAGCAGAACAGCATCCACACTCCAACCACACACACCCTGTTACACTGGGAATGTCTCCATCCAGAGACTGGACAGGGACAGGCATCCCCTCCTTACAGCTTCCAGTGAGGCTTCACCTGATAAAGGGGGAGATGAAAATGGAAGAAAACCGAGGCTCGGACGTACCGCTGTGATCTGTGCCGTGCCTATCAGCAATCAGAAAAAAAATCAAAGCCCATTTCTCAGCTGGGGAAGAGCGTTAATGACAAGGGAGTGACTCCAATTTACTTTCGCTCAGGAATGGCAGTACCCAGCACTGCTAAGGTGGAAACTGTCAACAATGCTGACTCTAAGATAAATTAAAATGAAGAAAAAAAGGAGAGAAAAGCCTTCCAACCTTGTGGAATTAAATTATTTGCTAATTATTTTTTTAAGTTATCATCATAAACAACATTTCACAGCAGAATAAAGACCCCGAGCTCGCGTGGGAAGCGGAGAGCAGGCTGAGCTCAGCCCTGCAGGAGCCCTTCGGCTCAGCTTGGAGGGTGTTCAGAGAGCCCGGACGCACCCTCCGCCGTCAGAGCCCTCCACAGGATACACAAGTGTTGTTAAGCAATTCTATTTGCAGAATTATACTAAATGAGAGCAAGTGAGTGAATCTGACTGTCAAGTCTGGACAAAAATGTAATAAAGAGTCATGAGCATTACTCCCCCTCCTCCAGGTATGATGAGCTGAACAAATACTAACAGCACAAGCCCTGCAGAACTGAGCGTCTCACGTTTATGTTCAAGCCTCCAGTTTAAAAAGCTTTAGGGCTGGGCATAACCTACTGGCTCTCCAAAATGAAACTGGGGTGGTGTTTTCTTTTTCTTTTTTTCTTTTAAAGTCTCCCAAGATTGGTGTAAAGAATTAAAAACATGTGCTGGTTTCTGCTTTTGTGGCAAGGAACTACAAAAACCCAATTTGCGCTGGTGTAACTTTTTAACTTTATTCCACATCTCAATTATTTTTAGCTTTTTTGCCTAGTCTGCTGATGTTAATCCCAAACCGTTAGTGGCCCAGGATTTGGAGGAATTCAAAGTGACATAATTACGTGACACAAATGTGCAGCTGTCACTCATGTTTGAAAGCTTCAATGTTTAGAAAGGCAGGAGTTCCCAAACAGAAAAAGGAAGCAGGGCCCTTTACTTTGGGGCACTGATTCACTCGCTCTAGATTAACTAAATAAATATCAGAATATCGTTTAATGGGCTCCTATTATCATATATATTATCCATATATCATAAAGGCCTCGATAGCGACACATTTTCCAGTTGGTCCCTTTCACAGAGGCGTATCATAACCTTGGCTGGCAGCAGGGAAAGCCAGAGGAGGAGACAACAGGACAGAGAAAACATTTCTGTCTTCAGTCTGAACTACCACCTCAAAAACCAACAGAAACAACCCTGCCATCCACACATTTGCTCTCTTCAACCCCTTCCGAAAGCTGCGCTTTGGAAAAAATAATATTCAGTCTGATATGTGAGGTTTCAGAAGTGCACAGCGAGGTCAAAGCGTTGGAAGAGGAGAAAGCAGCTCATCCACCCGCTGCTCTGCGAGAGAAAGGCACCCGCCAGCTTAAGGGGATACTATAACTTTAAACTTTGGATTTTTCAGGAAAAAGAGATACATTGCTGGTTTGCAACAAATCACACACATCCCCACATTTTCAAAATATGCCAAGATAATATTTATTAACACAGCAGGACTTACAGATCACAAAAGATAGTGATACATAGGAGCTCGTAAGGGCGTTATCAGAATAAAGCATGCAGGTCAATACTTGCAGAAGAGAGATATCAAAGCAGATCTGAGAAGGCACATTCACACAGGAAATGTTTAGTTGAAATTAGACATTAGAAAAGCAGCAAAAAACCTGAAGTTGATTAAAATATACAGAGATCTCCAATAATGCCAAAGGAAAAGGTACTTTACAGATTTGTAAGTGCAGCAAATGGATAACCCTTTGAGAATACCCGGGCGAGGGTACGCTCTCGCTGCAACGTTTGGCAGGACACAGAAGGAATTAAGTCCATGTAACATAAACAGGTGATAATTTAAATGCTTTTGTCTTGGAGTGAAACGTATATTTGGTTTAAAAGAAGCAGCCTGGTTGAAACTAAGAGCATGCAGCCAGTGCTCAAAGGGTTATACGAAGTAAATGCAAGAGAAATCAGGCAACATTAGTATAATCTACCTTCCACACAAAGAATTATAGCAAAGTTTAAAGAGACAGTATCCCCTTTGGAGAGAGCAAAACTGAAAACCTTGCTTCCCTCAGAGACCAAAGTCCATTGTATGGCCAGCAACTCAACAATTTCTTTCCAATTCCCAGCATAAGCAACCTACCTGCCCGTACCTGGAAGCTAAGCAACGTGAAGTCTCAATAGCCAAAGGATAAAAGACCTCTGTATCAGTATGTCAGAAAAGTCAAATCGTTTATCAGCACCTCTGTCCCGCTGCTGTTTCACCGGAGATGTTACACGGTGCTTGCAAACATACAGTTCCCAATGACTAGTCTCCCGTTTCTCAGCAGTGAGGGTGACAAAGGGATACTGTCCCTTTTTGACATTAAATTTACAGATCGAAGGAAATGAAGAGGAAAAAAAAATTAAAAAAAAATCTGCTTTTTAACTTTATGTAAACTGAAAAAAAAAAAAAAAGAGACTTGAACATCAGCAGTTCGTAGCTTGAAATGCATCAAACACACATAAAGGAGCACGTGAGCACAGAAATATTCGTAACAGATCGTCCAGGGCACGCTCTGCTACGAAATCCAAACAGAGTTAAATGGAGTAAAACTCTCCCTGTTGAAAAACATCTAGCTTGGCACCATAGGAGAATACAGACTTGTTTAAGTTTAATAAAAATAGCTTCTAATTAATACTTCAGAGTTCAAAAGTTTAGCAACAAGCACATGATCAGCTAACCCCTTTAAACAAACCAAAAAAGTCTTTCCTGCCACTAAACGGCAATTATTAATCACTGATTTCTGTGGCAAAAGCTCACATCCTGTAGAAGATCCACGTAAGTCAAACTACCACCAAAAGAGGCTAGAAAAATACTAGGAAAAAGTGCTTTCAAAACCAAAGTAAACATTCAAGAATACACTGTAGGTGCTACGTTTTTGACAGCTCACTCAACTTGGAATTTTACCAAGCAGTAATACGAAAATTAAATGTCTTTGCTAATAAATTATTCCTGATATTTTGTACCCTGTTATAGAGCATCTTCCATGTCAAAGTCGCCAACTTAATTCTCTCCCCTACTTAAAAATATCATATAATGCAAAATTACAGTACTGTGTATTTTCTCTACCCATATCTGCAAAAACGGAGGAAATATTTCATATGGAAATAACCAATTCTTGCAGTAACAGCTGTTACAGTTTGTATGTTCCCCCCTGTTCAGAAAAGCCTTAGACTGCATAATACTTGTCGCTAGGACACAGTAATGGTTCCCGTGTTATTGAAGGCCACAGAACATTTAACTACATCTTATCTTCCTATGTACATACGGAAAGAAAAAGCAGGACACTTGGGAAATTTGTTTTATGATATGTGATCAGATCGGCGGTGGTCAATTCACTCTCTCAGGAGCACTTTCATACAGGGAAATTAAAGAAGGAGAAAACCTGATGAGGATAAAGTAAAAGTCCCATGGTTTTAAATTTAGGTCCAAGAGCTACCAATCATGAGACTAGCATTTACAGGCCCTTTGCACAATTATTCCAATGAGGGTTTTAACTCTAAAAAGTATATGCAATGCTTCTACTTGCAGTCCTGCAAAATACTGGCTACGCAGATTAAGCCCCCCCCCCGTAACGGGAATATACTAGTGGTGTTGATTAGACAGCTTTTCATTAACAGCACAAATTAGTGTTCTGCCTACCCTTTTAGAAGCGCAGAGTGGGTTAAGTCCCCAAGCCAAATGCTTTGTTGAAACCAAGAGATTAAAGTGAGACTCTCTGCCATTCATCTTGCTAATACAAATGGAATGACATTGTTTGCATTAGAAAATTTTCCACTTGAATCCCTTAAGTGACAAGAGCTAACAGGTACCAGTATTTGATGTTGTCAAATCTCAAAAATAAACTGGCATGGAGTTCAAACTGTTCAATCTATTTATAGTCTTCTAAGACAAAAAATAAACGCTGCCCTGCTAAGGGGCCGTTGGCTAGCGGGTGCACAGATTTAGAAGCCTTTCACTGCTGAAAGACGAGTGCATAATACTGTAATTTAGCACACAGAAGAACACCCAAATCTCCATCACCTACGTTACCAGAGCAATCTAACCAGTTCCTCACCTGCTGCTGGTGGATGCTGGCCACTAACTGTTGGCAGATCCAAAGAGCTATCAGACATGACATGCTTAAGATCTCCTCCCACATCAGCCAGTTTCATGTCAAACTGAACAGACAACGCATCTTCAGAATCCTCCTTGCCGACACTGCTGCCACCAATAGAAGGGAGATCCAGAGACTTCACCGAAGCAGAGTCTTCTTTGGCCTGCTTGAAAGCCGCGACTTTGTCCACCAAGGACTTATCTGCATTGTTGTACATGGAAGAAAACTTGTTAGAGTGGAAGTCGGCAAAATCATCATCGCTCTTCACTGAAGAAAGCGTGTTGTCCTTCGCCTCCTCAAAGCCAGCTCCAGAGCCTTCCAGAGAAAGCTGTTTGAAGATGTCGTATTTGGTGGGCGTAGCAGCGGTGGCAGAACTCTGCCCACTCTTTGTCGTGCTGACCGATGAGCCAGGCTGAGGAACAGGACCAGCCTCTAGCTTAAGTCCATTGTATTTGTCATCTGGTTTCTGTTCGGAAAATCCACTGCTGTTGTTGAAAGCCATAAAATCTGCAAAGTCATCTTGTCCGCTGGCTGATGCGCAATTAGAAAATTCCCCAAAAAGGTTGAATTCTCCAAAGTCATCAGCTAAGCTGGAACTTTTGCTGGGTGCGGGTTGGGCAGTGGTAGATGGAAGGGGTGGTGGAGGAAAGGAGCCCGGTTTTGACGTACTAAATGCAGGTGGAAAGGATGGCTGCTTGTTTTCTCCAGTAGAGGAAAAGAGATCCAAGTCTGCTAGATTCAAAGAGGTCTTTGCTTGTGTTTGCTGCTTTGACTGAACGGGCAGAGAAGGGAAGGATGTGGGGAAGGTTTTGTCTTTTGTAGGTGGCTCTAGTGGTGAGATACTGTCAGCGGTTTTAAAATCTGTGAAACCATCATCGGTTCCTGCAGGCTTGAATTCTGCAAGGTTATCTCCTAAGAATAAGAACAACGAAAAAACAAACATAAAACACTGCAGTGACAACAAATACATCATACTCACACCATGCAAGCAAGCAAATTATTTCATGCAATGTCAGAAGTTTTTATGCAAACTATTTCAATTAAGACCTCAGGATGCACATAGAACTGCAAACTCAACTTCTATGAACCACACAAGTTTCAAGGTCAGCGATTCTAATATTCATTCCAGCAAACACTTAAGTCTTTCAAATGGCCTCAAAGTCATGTTAAATTCCCTTTACACTGAGTTAATATCAAGACACCATGACCAACAGATTCAAAAGGTGATCGGTTCTGTCTCATTCAGCTTCCATGTAAGCTCTGCTTCCCACCTCATCCTTCTCATATTTGCCAAGCAATGAATGTAAGCTCGAATTTCACTTATACCAATACAATATTTCCTTCTTACAACTCTCCCCCCGCCGTCCTTCGAAATATTGCCCAAATGCAGTTGCCTCATGGGGTGTCAGCAGAGAGTTGAGACAAAAGCAACCCTGCTGATAAGCTGAAAGGGGAACAGAGGAGAGATCAACCAAACCAGACTTGCCTGGTGGCTGAAGGTACTTCTGAAAAAGGCTAGCTTAACAGGAGGCACACAGCCAACGAGCCTGCCCACCCGGGCACAGCGGGGAACCAACAGGCCGAAGAGACACAGGCCCAATCAGGAAATAACACGAACGTGTTGCTTTAGAACATTTTTAAGCTCTCGTTTTAACCCATCACGTCTTCCTTCTGCCAGATTCACCTACACATACCGTAGCGTTAAGTGACCAGAACTTCAGTAAATGCACTATAGCCCAGGCGTCTTCTGGCTTCTGCTGAGACTGATTCCCGTTTTACTGAGAAGCTTGGGTCACGTGCAAGTGAGCATGATTAATCATGAGATGTGGAGATCTCTAGTTCACCTGCCTACTGAACGTAAGATCGTGCTATGTAAGGATTGTAATTTAAACCTGATTAAACATTAGGTAACAATGTTTTCACTGAATTTACATTAAATATTTTGGAGTACTAATTTTCTAAGTTTCTTCCTGTTCATATGCAATTATTTTTTTACAAAGCAATTTCTTTTGAACGTGAAAATATGTTGAGTTGTTTAACCCATTCACCAGCATGTCCATACTTAGACTACTTGTAATTTTAAAGTATTGATGTATACTTTAAGACAAGTGTCCAATAAACAGCTTTTGTTCTATTTTAGAAGCACACCATTAACATTTAATTCTTAGCTACCACACAGTGTTATACTTTAAATCAGTTTAACTAAGACTTAAAATACTACTCTTTATAATGGTAAAAAAGGACCACGGCTCTACCTGACACATTCTTCCATTCTCCCTCCCCTCCAAATCAACTCACTTGGCCCAGCAACAAGACAAATATTCATGAAATTGCTATTCATTGATCAAAACTAAAACATCACAGCAAACTAAACTTACTGATGAATTGCAAACTTTTCCATTAGAAATGTAAGCTGGTGAAAGGGTTAAGAGTGGTCAGACCCGGGTAGCTGGCAAATATAGTAATTTTCTCTATTTTAGAACATGTACATCAAGAGATAAAATATTATTTCATTTCATTGCATGCATTTAATCCTGAAAAGGTATTGAGCGTGAGAATCTCACAAAACATTACAGGAGTTTCAGGAACTCAGTGTCTGAAAAAAAGAATTCCATCTTTGAGAAATAAGGAGGAGGAGGAGTGAACTAAGGTAAGCAGTTGTACCCTAGAATCTAAAGTTGTTCTCTAGTAATCAAACAAAATGCTGGCTATAACATAACTCCGTGGAAGGCAGGTTAAGTTAGCAACACATTTATCTTCTGATCTGTCCACCGATAATGTATGAAAGTCAGTAGGAGTTTGAGATTTTTCACCCCCCCTTTGATTAAAAAGATGAGATAACCACTTACATTGCATAAGTGGGTTTGACATAGAGGGTTCTGCAAAAGGCTGAGGGAGACTCTGCTTTTGTAATTACACAGACGTTATACTTCAGATGCCAACTAGGTTTTACTTTTCCCAATCAAAAACAGTTAAACACAAGTTTCAAAATAAGTGATCAGATCTATTCTTAGAGCACCAGAGACATGAAAAGTTTAAATTCTGCCCTAACGATAGAAAAAAGTTGCAATTTTGTCCAGAAGCATCTTACTCTATCTTCTAAGAATATGTGATTCCTTCCTTAAAATGAACAAATTCCAACCACATCATTTTAAAATAAAGCTCAGAAGCACCCAGAAGAGATGCCAATCTTCTAGAAATACAAGATTTGTAGATTGTTCCAATAATATATTGCATCTTTTTTTTTCAGGATACTTCCTGCTAAGTCGTTCAGAGAAGCAGAAGCACCATTATTCTACAATTCTAGCAATGAAAATTCTGCAGCTCATAGAGAACTACTAAAAAACCACCAAGAAAATATGTTAAAACAGCTCCAAAAAACATACTGCTTACCTAAGTATTTGCTCTCTGCCGGCTGTTCTAACTCACGGAAAGCACTATACTTGTCTCCACCATCTAGTGAATATGAGAAAAGAAATACATTTACATAAAGATATTATGAATTCATATAGTAAATTTTATAGTGGCATAATTGCTCTGATTGTTAAATATTAATATCTTATCAGTGCCAAAACCAAGATATATGAAATATTACAATAAATTGTTCATAGTGGTTGTATATTTTTCCTTTTACCTCCAAAAGTAGCTGTACTTTCAGAAGGCTTCTCGGCTGTAATTCCTTTAAACACAGCATACTTATCAGTTGAGGAGAGTGTCTTATTACCTGGGAGTGGCATTAGTAAAGAAGGAACACTAAAAACAAAAGAGATAAAGGCAAAGTTCCTTAATTTATCCAGAAGAAATCTACATTTCCAGGTTTTACTTAAAGGAGCCTCTTACTACGACTGCACAGTTCCAATCACTAAACCTAAGCTTGTACCCTAGAGTGCTTAATCAAGAACCTGATGTAAACTACCTCAATGCCTACTAAGAGTAAGAGCATGGAAACAGGCAGCTGCCTAACTGATGGGTGAATTCGCACTTTATCTCACCTAATCGTATTTCTTTAGGCTCCAAGTCGATTTTCAACCTTCTCGATTTTAATTTGTACCAGAACATGAACAAAACGCTCCAGAACTTTACACCACAGGAATTCCTGGCCCAAGAGACAACAGGCACACTGACACAGACCTGAAATCACCGCACTTTAATCTCTCGCTTTGCCCAGGGCAGCGTAAGGATGATTCTCCCTGATAGAACTACATACGGTAAAGAGTTAAAACTGCAGGAGATATCGTCAGCTCCATACTTTCAGCTTAACTACTTTTAATTATATTTCATTACATATTGAAAAATTAAGAGAATAAAGTGACACCGCTGTCCAAAAGGATAATTTTGAATTTCTGTCAGTGCAAACCAGCGAGTTCAGGTAGCTATCTAATTAGCAAAATAAGGATTAGCCCACTGTCACACAAGCAAATCTTTTTGCACATAAACACGCTCTATATGGTAAAACTGCCATAATAACCTAACACCATGTTAGCAACTGCTGTATAATTTAGCAGACGTTCTGCGAGAGCTCTGCTCGCCCTCCACACAAGCCCCCTTATCAGACCTTGGCAGCTCTACAGAACAACATCCTTTACATATGAATGATGCGTTTTACCTCTCGTTTATGTCATTCAATACTATGCACATTGAAAAAGTGAATGAATTTCTATGGCATTCCTTGGCCTGAAGGAAGAATCTTTCCAGAGCCATTTAAATCTCCTTATCAGCAGCCTACAAGCAACATACAAACCCAAGCACTTGCACACACGTGCTAATGATGGTCTGTGATGCTTGCAGACAGACAGTGCAATGTCAAAAAAATATAGCTTAGGGTAATATAATTAAATTTCACATCACTGCAAACCAGGCTATTAGATATGCAATCTTGGCAAATGTAATGGTTAATCATCTGTACTCTACAGATGGCTTTTTTTTTAAATAAAGCTCCATAAGCAATTAGATTATAGCTCATTGATAACGTTCTGTTCAAAACTGAATGCTTTTACAGCTGAATAAAGAGAACTGCTGCAGTGAAAAAGAAACACCATTTTTTAAAAAATATATATATTTTTTTTTTTAAATGATCCCCTGCTTCCCCCTGTGGAATTTACAAACAATATTTCTGTTAAAACTTTCAGCAGCAGAACAGCTTTTAATTGCAGAACTGTGTCTACCACAAATGAAGATATACTTAAAACAGAGCATCTTCAGAGGCATGTGGCATTGATTTACATCAGCAAAATTTAATTTCTCCATGCAATGCCGTTAGGCACGGTGTAACAGAACAATTTGGTTTAGTATTCCCATTTGACGTCACTGTTGAGGGAGAGACTGGTAAATGCTGCTCACCTGGAAAGCACCAGTTCTATTTGCAGCTGAGAACAGTCACTTTGATACACAGAAAATCTGTACGTCTACAATTAGACACCTGGGAGGTACATAAAAGTTTGCCATGTGCAGCAAAAGGAAACAACACTGAAATTTTGTAATCACAGGACTTTGAGAGATCAATTGTCAACTCTGAAAGGGAGTAAACATGCTTACTTATTTTGTTATACAAAATGAGCCTGAACTGGAATTACATTTTGGCAGTCTCCCAAACGAAAAGCCAAGATTGCTGAAGTCTGAATGAGATTTCAACTGAGATTTATAGTCAGTTATCAAAAGTTTAAGCACTGGCCAGAGAAACAATAGAAATAACTGGAGTTCTCAGTCATTAAGAGTACAATGTTGTGCTCTTGCATGAATTTTGGGGTCTGTATTCAGGGCCTGAAGAAAGACCTTGATGTCAGCAAATGGTTTCTATCATCTCCAACAAACACGGGGTCATACTTCTAATGGAAGCAGACAGCACTGAATGCAGAACTCCTCTGCCCCAGTGTATTTTTTCTGAATAGCTTTACATAAGGTTTTTTGCCTGAATGCACAGTATGAAGTAACTTTCAATTGCCTGGGCAGTAGTGTAAACACTTGAAAACCTATCCCCAAACCTTGTAAACGCAATTTACCTCAGCGTGGTGACTAGAATGCTAAAGAACAGCCAACCACCTATGGCACATCAAATGTCATTTTTGATTCAGAAAGCCTAATTGTACTTCTAACAACCTTCAAAAGAAACTGTCAGAGTAGACGTCAGGTGACAGAAGAAAATTACAGGCTGGAAAGCTACCCACAAGAGAGGAAAACATTTCATTTCTTAAAAGAGTTCTAAAATACTGAAGGAGTGGAAATCAAGGATCTGCTACCTGCTCCGGTGCTGTGAACTGGCTGCTTTGGAGGAGCCAGCTACATCCCCCTGAAAATCAGTGAAAGAGTCATCCAGTGAGCCAGACTTTGAAGCATCTTGAAACTCCTGGAAGTCATCATCTTCTGCTTTTACTACCTGAATTAGAAACAACAATGTAAATTGCTATGCTGCTGTCTTTTTAAATTGTCATATGGCGTGAAAGCAGTTCAGAGTAGCTGACTGACTCAAGAGAGGAAAAAAAAAAAAAAAAGCAAAAAAGAAGGAAAAATCCTTTCCACGCTGGCATGCAAAATTAGCACGGTCAGTGTTTCTACTTCACCTGCAACTAAAAACACACACAAGGTGTACAGGGCTACATACTAGGTGTAGTGTGCCCAAAGAACAGGTGAATAAGGAACTCTACTCCTTTCACATTAAATGTATTCTTGATCATAGCCATGTAATCTTTTAATACACAACAAATATTGATGATTTACATCAGTCAACAATTTAAAATCAATAGACACAGCAAAAGCATCAGAATAAATATTTTCCAAAGAAGGCTGAACCATATTTGCCAAGAGCAAAATTTATCCCCCACATGATTTACAGTGCTGTAAACCAGAGATTTTCATAGCTCTCAGCTTCTCCTGAAAACTCAGACTTATTTTACCAGCTACTAGAGTCTGCTGTGTAGTTTAACCTAAAACTCCATTTTATGTGCATTACAAAATCCTAACTACAACTGAAATCCCGCTTCGACGCAATTAGTTTGTCATGGAGAACACTTCTGTACCTCTTCTAATGCCACCAGAAAGAAACGGGAAAAATAAAAGCACATCCTTAGCAGCATGACTTCATGTTTTCAGATGTCATGGGTCAGATTTCAGCTCGTTTTTAGTGTTTACTTAAAGCCTGTGGCCACTACAGAGCGTTAAAGGAGCCGGGCTCATTGTCTTTCTGGGAGAAGGGAGATTTGACAGGCAAGAAGAGGGAGCTAACCTGGCTGGGCGGGTAGGGCGGCCCGAAGCCTCCGGAAGGCTGTCCTGCAGCTCCGCCCGCCGGTGCCGTGATGCTCATCCCCATCACGGCCGGCCCGATGCTGAGAGGCACGGAGACCGGCGGCGCGGAGGGCAGCAGGGGCTGCGGGCTCACTGCCGCAGGCAGCGGCAGTGGAAATCCGGTTAAAGTAGGAACGGGGGCAGCTGGAAACTGGTTTAACACGTCAGGACTCACTGCAGGGATTCCTCTCTGCAAAGGCAGAAAAGCAAAGACAACCATATACACGTGTCCACATCAACAGAAAGGCTTACTGCGGTCTCAATTCTGGTTTCTAGCTTGTACTATTGAAATCATGGAAGGGCAGGGGACTTGTCAAGCTTCAAGTAAACCTTCCAAAGCAAAACATGCTACCAGGAACCTCAGTGACACCCACCCTGACGGCTGGAGTTACACCGAGGCTCATGTTACCCGCCTGGGTGGGCAGAGGCTCAGCGTTCACCAACACAGTAAGTGGAGCTACACCTGGTGTGCACTCTACCATCCTGCCCACCACTCCCACAAGGTACCTCAGCTTCAATCTTCCTCACTTGAGACACTCGCCTTAGTTTTCAGACAAGGCTGGTATCCAGAGACAAACTGGTAAGAGATGACACTTGCAAAGAATAGAAACCTAAAACTAACACTCTACTGGTTCAGGAGAGAGGGAGCAAGTCTAGCTCTTCGCAGACTAAGAGGTACAGGAACCATATAGTTTAAGGAAAACAGATGCACGTGCAACAGAAGAAAAACCACCAGTATTTTCTACTAGAAATACACTTAAGTGTGTTTGGTAGGTATATGTAAGAACTATCAGCTGACACTAAAGAAAGGAGTAACCGAGATGTAACTGCAGGGGACAAAATTATAATCCCACTGAAGTTACAAGGGGAGTTTCTCCTCCAGACTTCCAACAGAAGTAGTATTTTACTACCAGTGTGCGCTCCAGCAGACAGTTGTGCTAACACAGAACCTAGAGCAGGGGAGCGAGGCGATCCGCGCTCGCCTTCCCGGCGCCAGCCGTACCTGGGTGACTGCTACCATCGCCAGGACAGCGTAGAGCTCCTCCTTGGTCAGCTTCCCCGGGGTCGTGCGGTTGGCTAAAGCCCATATCTGCCCCAGCGTCTCTCTGGGCAATCCAGACGACATCAGTATGGGGTAGAGTTTAGCTGTATCTATTCCAGCAGGAGTCAAAGTGGTTTCTAAAATTTTCTTATACAAGTCTGTTAAGAGGGAGCCAGAATTAGACAGTGACAACTGCTGTTTTCAAGCGAATTTAAGATGTCTTCTCTATTTTGTCTCAAACTCAGCATTAATAACACTCAAAGTGCATTCTGGCATTGTATCGTATCATCATGTTTCATCTAAATGTGTTACTGAATGGTCTTTACAGACAAGTTTAACACAAGCGAAGAAATATTTTATATAAAATACACTCAGTGCTCCATTTCAAAACATGCTTCTTCAATGAAATTGCAGGATAATCCCTATAAAAAGATAGTTATAACAGCTTTATGTATTTAAACCTCAAAGTAATCAATACTTACTGCAGCATGTAATTTTCTATTTACTTGTTATTTGCATATATAAGATAAATACACTTATGAAATGAGTCTGCTTAATTGTAAGACATGCCAAAAACCAGGCTACTCATGAAGCAGTGTTATCAGTGATGCAACCTCTACTAGCATGATCTGCTGCCATAACAAATTCTAGATTAGACATTTATCGTGCTCGTATAAAACCTATGCTTCTTCAAATGCAGATAAAGCCACCATAAATATGTAACATATCAAAGACACAGGATTCATTTGATGACTGAAGAATAATGCTTTGATCAATAAATGGCACACGTTCGTTCAGACCTCACGTTGCCCCCTTGGCTAAACGCCCACTTTCTTGTTTACCTGGGACCAAGCTATCATTGTAAATCCAAGGAGGCATCATTTGCTGAATTGGGTCCTGTGAAGGGAACACTCCAACGCCTAAACGCGTTCCATGCAGCAAGAAAAAGACAGAGAGTTGTATTAGGATATACCGATTCAGAGCATAAACATCTTAGAGACTAGATCACAGCTGGTCAGCAGCATTTAGCATTTCAGGCAAAGATTTCAGGTAGGAATCACTGTGCTCAGAGGAAAACCAGCTACTGCAGGAGTATATATTTCAACATAATAACTGGAATGATTTGGCAGTAACAGCAAGAAAATAGTTAACTATATAATGAAATAAGGAGCTCCTCATCTGCCTCCCTCTTAATTTCTAGTTGTACAGAAGCTCAAGTCTCATTGCCTCTCAAAATTTCATAGCTGAGCCTTATCAAATTTAGTCTTCCCATCAACTATATGCTATTAGGGTTACTTGTGGAATAAATAAATTCATACCTACCATAAGAACCACAGTGTTCCATCAGAACATCCTGATCAGGGAAATCCACAAACAGCCCATTAGACTGAATCTCAGCAACACCTTATCCTGCGTTCACAAAACCGTATCCACTGCCCCAGTGCTCCCAGTCTTCAGATCCAGGGGACATCCCAGCTGCCTTCACTACTACAGGCTTCCACAGCACGATCTGCCACACTCTACTCCCTGCAAATTGGTTATTTCCTTCTCCACTGTGTGGACTCTTCCCCTCAGGCTCATGGTTTTACTTCCTATCTAGTCTCCCTGAGCAGATTTTATGCTCATCTTGAATGAAGCTCTGATAAAAATCAGGAGCATTTCAGATTTCATTGTCTTTTGCAGTGCCCTTGCATCTCCTCATCTTCCACATGGATTCTCTCCTGACTGCAGTCTAATTTCTAATCATCCCACAACTCCAAGTACACTTTAATATAAGCAATTCCTTCCATTTCACCAGCCAAGTAAAATAAATTTGCTACTTCCTCCAGTCTCATTATTCTTCAGCTTTAACCACCACTCCATACACTTCTGCATCCTACCTGTTCTGGCTTCTCATCCTTGAATCTCTCTGACAAAATTCAGCCCCTTAAAAACCAAATAATTTGAGAAGTGAAAAGGAATTTGCAGCCATATTTAGTTGATAGATAGGAGAGTCTTACTTAAAACTTTGATAATAACCCAGGTGACTAAGGGTCTGCCATTTTTCAGCATTATCACTTAACTACTAAACTTCTGTTCCTCACAAAGTATTTCAGCTCACCCTTCAAAGCACCCTTAACAACACTGGGAACTATTCTTAACTATTGTTGCTCTACATAATCACTTCCAACGCCACCTTCATCTGCAGCCTGTATTTAAACTGATCTGTCTCACACTCCTAAACGAAGGCAGTTTCCTGTCTCACCCTGTGTCGTCCCCACCCTTTTTTTTTAAGTCAGGCATCAGGTTGCACTGGATTTGTACAAAATGAACAATGCAACTGACTGAACGATGAATAAATGAACAGCTCCTATTTCATGCTGTCTATTCTTTAAAGTTAAGTCACTTTTAGCAATTTACTGTGTATCACAGTAAGTAGAGGGGCTTTAAGAATGTTCACTCAGACCATTTAATTTCATCCAATAATGTTTTCTAGATATATTGGAAAACACTTGAATCCAACATACCCAGTGACTGAGGAAAGGAACACATGAGCTTAGTAATAAAAAGTTACAGTACTTGTAGGAAGGAAATATCTGCTGGGGAAAGTGCCCAATTTAATTATCTACAGACCAGAAGCCTTCTCCCCCTTGTCCATCTCCTCTCACCTCCACATAAAGTGAGATTACACAAAGGATTACATGCATTTTATCACACTTGACTACAGTGGAGCCCCTGTTTCATGTAACCCCCGAGTACAACATCAGAGAACTAATCAAGGTGCACCAGAGACCCTTGCATCTATTTTTGATTGGAATAAAGCAAAACCAAACAGTCAATAGTCAGCTTTAATAAAATCCAAATTGGAACTAAAGCTTGCTTAAAGTTTTCACCTAGTGCAGCTTTTTAAATTTTGATCCCTAAAGCTCAGATAGTTTTAGACATAACACATGAGGGGCAAGTTAGCTAGTTAATATTTGTTTCCTAGACTAGAGTTTTAGCCTAGCAAGATTTTATCCCCTCAAAGTTAAATGATGAAAACCCACCATGACATTGACCATCTTTAGTAAAAAATTTCCTTAACTAACTAAAAAAAAAATAAATCTTTAGAGAACACTTTTTTTTTTTCCCCAAGAAAGAGGATAGAATATTTTAAAACAGCAAACCTGATTAAACAAACATGTTACAAGTGATTACAGCAGTAAACTCACGTGGAAAAAGTTGAGAGCAAAATCGTAGTTGTTACACTTTTAGCAAGGAGCAGGAGGCACTGACATATTATTCAAGCAGGCGTTCAGAGCAAAATTATGCAGGATTTGCCTTAGAATTAGTGTACAGAGTGTTAGCATTCAAGCAGCATTTTATTAGATTTAAATTCTGTCAAATGTTTCATTTGCTCACCACACTCTTCAACTGCTATGTTTTGTTCTGAAGCCTTGTGCACCTCTGCAGCAGTGGTACCACTTTCATGTCCACCTACAACATTCCAGTCACTGATGGTTAGACTGGGATGAACTTGGCTCGCAGCCGAGGCTTTGTGCCCAACTTCAGATGTTTTAAGTTTGCTTTGCTCTTGTTCAGGTTCATTTGAGCCATTATCTAAGATTTTCTCCTCCAAGGAAGAGCCTGAATAAACAGCAGGAGGAATTATTTATATTTTGTTATTAAGAACCAAGATAGCAATTCCACACTTTCAAAGGAAGAGTATTACTGGTACCACTGGTGACTTATCAAGACGAGTATCTGTCCCAGCTCAGACCAATAGCACCACCCTGTTCAAACACTTTTATAGCCCGATTCTGCCCTCTACTTACCATGCATACACAACCAGTTCAACAAACAAAAAGCAACAAACAGGAGAAGGAATACATGAAACTATTTTCCATATTAGGATTATCGTTGCACAATCGTCTAGGCATCGGTAGCAGAAGTGTGCAGTATCTACTTATATCTGCAAAATTCTTCACGTTAATCTCACCAACATCCATTTAGCCTCCAAGGGAGGAAGCATACAAGTGCTCCACACGAACATATTAGTTATTTTTTACAGCACCATCTCAGCTGTATCTTTTTCTATCCCACAGACTTACGAAGACACTAGCACACAAGACTTAAATCCACTTAAGATCAGCCATGTGCACATTTAGCAATCTTTGGATCCACATGTGATTTGCTTTTACAGCGTGGTTCTAAGGGAAGGAAGAGGACTTCAATCATCTTTGCCCATGGATCAGCAGGTTTCTGCTTAATTGCCTATATGTTACTTCTTTCAGACAGACTGAAGAAAACCCCAACAAAATAAGTAAAGACTCTGTGTAGCTCTATGACAGAAAGTGACGTGTAAAAAAATATACTTTAGAGTTACCTGTTTTATGGATATTGGGTGAAGATGCAGAGGTAGGAAAATGGGGAACCTGCCCAGTTGTACCATGCAGGATGGATAACACTGGAGGCTGGGCTGGAGGGAGAGGTTGGACCACAGCCTTTTCTGAAAGCAGCTGCCCAGCCTCAGTAGCAGAATGGAAAGGCTGCAAAGGCTGAGAGGTGGGTTGAGGCACCAGTTTGGGGATTTCAACAGGCCCTTGTATAAAGTCACTAAATTCTTCATCATCGAGAAAAGCAGAGTGGGAAACAGATACAGCAGAATGGGATGGTGTGGGATGATCTGTAAAATGGAATGAACACACAATGCAAAGTGATGAGGAGAAAGGTTCACGGGTGGAAAGGCAGGGAGAGGGGCAAATCCTAGGTATACACAGCAAACGGGTGAGGGGAAACAGCCGAGGATGCATTATTTTGAGAGACGTGAAGAGTTGTTATTGTCAGCATGACAAACACATAAGGTAAAACTGAGCAGCCACTTCCAACTGTGCATCTTCTCTCCCAGATTTTTATCATGTAAACACTTTGAGTGAAGCTCAATTCCTTACACTGGCTATGGAAGTATTCTGTTTGTTTTAAACAGACTGGGTCAAAACAAATCAAGGAGTAATAGTTCAAACTGGATATAATGAGGGTGTGCACGGAGGGACATTCTCCCTCAAAGGAGTGTTTTATCCTCAAAAGCTAAATAATGTATCATATGTAAGAAATGTGTACTCGTTTAGGCAATCTGCTGTTTGATCTCCTCCATGGTTACCCCTTTTAACAGAAGTGACGATGGAAAATTGTCAGAAACCACCTGTAACTTCAAAATTATCAAAGAGCTAAGATTTTATATAGGAGAAAGCTTGTCTAGATAAGCTTTGTTGCAGGCTAGACTCAGAACAAACTACACTACAACCCACAGGAAACCTTTAGTAGTAATTGTTACAAATGTAGTAATTACTGAGAAGAGAATACGGAAGGCTTCGGTTTGGCCATGCCCAGGCGATGGTGCACAAGTAAGGTGTTAGAGTACACTGAAGTCATTATAGAGTGTTTTGATCATTCTTAGCCCTTGTATAGCACCTCTCGGCTTCAAAAGCACTCTGCCAAACATTAATGAAAGCTTTGGCTAGAAAAGAACACACACATTATCAATTCCCATGGTATTTCACATTCAGCACAGCACATTCAGCTTTCTTTTAAAGATTTCCAGTCTTCTAATAAAAGCTGGTATCTAATATTTCACCCTCATAACCTGACCAAGAAAACAGTTGCTAGAATGGCACTTTATTTTACAAAACAGTTAATCCACTCACTTTGTACCACCAAATACTTTGTGGAATTAGTTCCCCCTGCTGAGGATTTCAAACATTATGAGTTTTGTTTTCAGTTGGAAGATGAGAAAAATGACAAACCTGGCTTTTTTGGATGTGATGCTGGTGTTGGGTGCATTTTAGCATCTCTAGAAAAACCGTCTAAATTTCCTTTAATGGCTTCCAAAGCATCATCCCTGCTTTTTTCACCTGTCTGAAACACCACAGAACACATTTTGAAAAATTCACAGAACAGTTTTCTGTCAATATCTACATTTCTTCAGTATAAAAATTAGAAATGCCTGCTGTTAGACTAAACCCTTCTTTCTGCAGCAGTGAAGCATAGGAACAATAACTCCCGTATTAAGAAAGCATTTATTTTGCAGACTACCCCATAACAGTGTTTCTCAGACTTTAGATACAGCTTTATGACAGGATCAATTACAAACCTTACTCGGTATTTGTATTTTTGCGAAGCCTTTGAGCTCATCGCAAGGATCCAAAAACTTTGGGCAAAGTTAACAAACAAGCCACCAAACGTTCTTGATTCCAGAAACTCAATCTGTTCCCAAATGTTACACAACAGGTTGGTTTATTTTGTCCAAAAGCTGATTTCATTTTCAACACCAGACTTTGTTTACATTACACCAAGAGTGTGTAAAGGACTGACCATTCCAGATGCTTTTCAAGATGTAATCTGATGTCTCATGTAAGTTCCCCACCTATTTGCTTGTTGAAAGAGACCATCCCATTAAAAATAAAATAAAACTGAAGAAGGAACACTGCACTTATTATTTAGGACATACTTTAGGTTTCACACTGCTTAGGAGTCTCAGCTTTTGTTTCTGCTCTTCAAACTGGCGCCGTTTTCTTTCTTCTTCTAAGAATTTCTGCTGGTGCTCAAACCTCTTCCTGAAACAAAATGATTTTTAAAAAAATCTAAAAATGATTTTTCACGGCAAGCTTCTGCTTGATTTTTCCATTTCTTCTGTCTCAAATCTCAAATTCAGATGGCTTGGAGCACATATTTCTACTTCTTAGAGCTGTATGACAACCACTCCTAACTTCATAGATGGCCTCCAAATGCAGTGGAATGATCTCAACAACATTCTACAGCCCTAAACAGACTACTTCTCTAGAGAAACTGTCAGTATTTTTACTGAGTGAATCACCCCTCCGGACTACATCTTCCCCTTAAAAAAAGAATTTCGGAAGAGTCAGTAAAGCATCACTTACTGCTGCTCCTCTGCAAACTGCTTCTGCATGTCAGGGGTGTACTGCGGGGCTGCTGGGCGCATTCCCAAGAAAGAAGCCTGTCCCATGTAAGGCATTCCAGTCGCTGGCATCGGCCCTAAGGGCATGCCACCCTGGAACAAAAGCAATAACACAATGTCAAGATTTGTTTTTTTCCACAGAAAAAGCCCAACCACTGGTAATTACACCCTGCCAAATTGCAAACTAGGTAGGTCTCGTAAAATTAAGAGCGTTAAGACTAGTTGGATGAGCAGTAGATGGCACTCTTCCCTCTCAGTTAGGAGCTACAATTCTGAAAGGATTTCAGAAAACCCGATGGTCTGGTCAAATGCAAAAATCAAGACTCCAAATCCATACAACCTACCCCAAGAGCAGGAAGGTTACAGGCATCCTACAGTGCTACACGTGGTTTGGTACCACACTTTTGGGTTTTTTTAAGGTTTTTGTTTCCTACTCTAAGTGATTGCATAATAATTTTAAATTTCCTGCTGGAGGTGCACGCTCCTAACTGACAACAGATGCTGGCAAAACATGGTCTAGTCGTTTTGCAAACACAGCTTATCTGCAGGTCCAAGGGAGGGAGACAGTATACAACAGCCAAGAGGAGACTTGTCTGAATAAACTGCATCTGTATTGGAAACGTTTGCTGAGAAATATATTCTGGTACAGTTACAGCAGCAAAGCTCACCTAGTAGAGAAGGGACCAGAAAATAACTTACTTTTATTATCACTCATTTTGTATTTGGTATCAGAACACGTAGGAAGAGAACAAAAGTTGTTTATTATTTTCAGACCGTCTCACATAAAAACATCTTCCTACTATAAATTTTATAAAATTAATCTAATAAATTCCAGGTGGAGGTGGAAAGAGAAGGGAGTGTAAGGAGATGGCAAGATACAATCAATTCAATTTGTCACACAGCAATTTGGCTACAAAGCCATGCTGAAACATTGAATTTCAGCAAAGTGCAAATTTGTACATAAGCACATATGGTGCTAAATAGAAAACAAAAGATTAAAAGAGAGAGAACATAATATTAGCTACTCATATTTCATTTTTATTCCTCAATTAGCAACAGCAGAGTTAAAGACAAAGTTACTTTAAGCAAAAAAAGAATGAGAATGAAACACAGGAAGTAGGGCAAATGGGAAAACCGGTCATGTGAGAAAATACAACACGTTAAAAAGATTCCCTGCTCCCTAGAACAAGAGACAGTTTATGAATTGCCACCTACACTCAGGATACTTAATTCTATTAAGTTCAGCATCTGAGCTACAAGGGACAGAACAGTTCAGTGAATTGGTCATAATCAATCAGGTAGTGTACACAGCCACTTCTTATCAGCTTATATAAGTCTCTTTTAAAATATTACACAATACACCACCTTAACGGTAAGTACATAAAACCAAAGCAAAAGAAGAAAAAGCGTGAAGCAAAATTAAAAAAGACAGAAGAGGT